TATGTTATGTATTATATGTTTTATTATGAGCCTATTGATAGTACTAATATATTGTCTCTTATTGCTCTCTTGAGCCGAGGGTCTCCTAGAAACAGCCTCTCTGTCCCTCGGGGTAGGGGTAAGGTCTGCGTACATATTACCCTCCTCAGACCCCACTTATGGGATTATACTGGTATGTTGTTGTTGTTGTTGTAGTACTAGTCAGTGTCATTTGTCTCCAAAACCATGTATACTCTCCTGCCTCAAAAATCTGTATCATTCCTTGCCATCTGAGTAATAGACACAGTATGTTGGTGATAATACTTTGTTTTTTTTTTTGACGGGATAATACTTTGCTGTATTTGCAAAATTATATATGAGCGGTTAAATTGAATTGAAAACAGAACCTATAGGATCCAATTTCCTTTCATAAAAAGTGAAGGGACTGAACACTAAATTCTTTTTACGGAAAAGGCCCTAAACTATTCCTATCGTTTACTAAATGGTTTATAGATGCCCTCCGTCCACCTATTAGTCCAAAAAGCACATGACGTTAATTCTATAAACAAAATTATCCCCGCGACTAACGACATAACATGTGGGGCTTCTATTTAATGACATGACGATTTTTTGTTGGGCCACGTGGCAATCTCATTCTAAACAAAAGATTGGTCTTATTTCGACCCATTTACCTGATCTTATTTCGACCCATTTACCTGATCCGACACTACTACTTTAACAATATTATAAGGAAAAAAAAAGAGACCAAATCCGACATTATTAAAATCAATCAAGAAAACCCATGATAAAAAGATTCACCAGCCAAAACAAAGGTTACAATCAGGACAAATCTCATCAGAATTCAAACACCAACAAACCAAAAATACCAATAAATAACTTAAGGAACTAATCTTTAGCCCCTAAATCTAAAAGGGTCTTTTTCAGAATTTGTATTTAGCACCAGCAAAGCAAAAAAAATCCAATCATTTTTTCAATATATGAAGAAATAGCTCAAAAGAACTTAGCTTTAGCCTATGAATCGAAAAGAATCTTATTCAGAATTATAAAATACCATTAAAGATCCAGTTGAAAGAAGAGGGAAAACATAAAAATGAACACCCTTTTATTCAGGTGCCAATAATTTTTCTCCACAACTAAGATTCTTTTTTTTCTCTCTCGTTGTTGGTTTAATATTGTGTTTGAGGAGATAACTAAAGATACCTTATTTGTAAAAAAAAGTAATTTAGCTAACTTCAGAACACCCTTCAAAGTTTTCTTGCAAAGTTTTAGGGAAAATTATGAGGAAAAAGTGTTGAGACTTATATTTTCTTGGTTTTTACACAGGGAAATATATGTTCATGCAGAAATGAAAAAAAATCACTACAATTGCCTTTACCAGTTATTTAAGTTTGCAAAAATAAAAAACAAAACTAAAATTTAGAATACAAAAATAGAAAGTGAAAAAGAGTGCCTTGTGCCTTTATGTAAACGCCACAAAAAATTTCAGCAGTTAACTATTTTATGCTATTTAGAACGAAGGTAAGAAAAGCTTGGGTTGGATCAGGTAAATGGGTTGAAATAAGACCCATCTTTTGTTTTAGACTGCGATTGCCACGTGTCTTAGCGAAAAATTGCCATATCATTAAAAAGAATGCCCACAAGTTTTCTCATTAGTCGCGGAAATAATTTTGTCAATAAAATTAACATTGTGTGCTTTTTTAGACGAATAGATGAATAAAGGATATTTATAAATTATTTAGTAAACGATAGAGATATTTATAAACTATCTTTTTATGGTTTCAGAAATCCATTTGTCAGAAAGGTGACCTGCCGTTTTAACATAGCATGTGCTAACCGACAACGGTGTAGAATACGTGAAAACGACGCACTACTATCCATTGCTTTTTCTCCCGGACATTTTTGCCCTTCCTTATAATACACTCCACTGCATATTTTAATTGTTTCTTTGTAATTATATTAACAAACAGACCCCATTGTATAAAGATATTTAAATTAAAAATTGAGCGGCCGGTCTTAACCGTGGTTAATTTAAACCGGGGGATAGAGAATAACTGTAATCCAATCATGACATGTTAACTCTTAGCTGGCAATCAATCATAACCACGGTTAAATATAACTAATCATGGTTAATCACAACCGCAAGTTTTTTTGTGGGGGATTGCTCCGGTATAAAACGAAGGGCTTCTAAAATATAGAGTGCATCAGATCTGGAAATCGTAGGAAGAGGCGTCTTGATAAACGCCGATCCTTTGAGTTTGAATTTGAAATTCTAGGGTTTCGAAAAAAGCAGCGAAAATGAGAGAGTGCATATCGATTCACATTGGTCAGGCCGGTATTCAGGTCGGAAATGCATGCTGGGAACTTTACTGCCTCGAGCATGGCATTCAGGTATGTATACATCTGTTTAAATTATTTGCATTTACGGTTCCTTTACTTCGAAATTTATTTGAATTTTCATTTTGTTACACAGATCTATGTGCTGCTTGAATCTGTTTGAATAATATAAGATCTTTTCAAATGAGAAATGTTTTTGTATAGATCCGTTTGAATTATTTGCATATCTGTTCCTTTAATTTTAAATTCATTGGAGTCAGCGTTTTTTACGGAGATCTGTTTGAATCTGCATACGTTTTGGTAGATCTATGTGCTGCATCTCTTCAAATGTAAATGTTATTATATGAATCTGCATGATTAATATGATATCAAAATGATCTGAATGCACATGTGTTTGAGTAATATAAAATTATATTCCATTGATGTCAGAAGCATTTGAATATACACTCGTTTTGATATATTTATTTGCTGCATAAATCTGTTTGAGTAACATAATTGATTCTGATTATATCGCTTCAAATGCAAAACTATTTTATATGGATCTGTTTGAATAATCTGATGTAAAAATGATTTGAATTTCAATTCTTTTTTAGATAGATTATGTGCGTTGAATAGATGGGATGGATGTTTATAGCATAGCATATATCATAATATCATGTATAATGGAAAATAAACTGCCTGGGGTAATAGAAAGTCAAATTTTAGATGGATCATCTTCTATGCTATATTCTCAAGTGTATCCTAGAGATTGTTGATGTATCCAACTGGTAAACTGAACTTAGATGTAGGATTTATTGTGAATAAATGGTAGTTAGTGCTGTTAATTGTTGAAATTTTAACTAATGTATTCAATTGTTAGGTTCTGCTATGAGATTATCTTAAAGTTTTGGCATATATAAACAATGATGTCAATAAGAATTGTATTGTGAAATGGGCTGCTAGTTTTTTTTTTGAGTTCTGTTGTGAAGAACCTGTTTTTGATGCATAACTGACGATCTTGTTTCTGTTGTATCTCCCAAAAGCCTGATGGCCAGATGCCAGGTGACAAGACAGTTGGAGGAGGTGATGATGCTTTCAACACCTTCTTCAGTGAAACTGGGGCAGGAAAGCACGTCCCTCGTGCTGTCTTTGTGGATCTTGAGCCTACTGTCATTGACGAAGTCAGGACTGGAACATACAGGCAGCTCTTTCACCCTGAGCAGCTTATCAGTGGCAAAGAAGATGCGGCCAATAACTTTGCCCGTGGGCATTATACAAGTAAATATTACCTTATTGTAACACTACATTTGGTTTTGTTCAGCTCGATTAAGTTCTTATATTTGTGTTTTTGTCTTGTTTGCAGTTGGGAAAGAGATAGTTGATCTCTGCTTGGATCGTATCAGGAAGCTTGCAGACAACTGTACTGGTCTTCAAGGTTTTCTCGTTTTCAATGCTGTTGGTGGTGGAACTGGTTCAGGTCTTGGGTCACTTCTGCTGGAGCGTCTCTCTGTGGACTATGGCAAGAAATCAAAACTTGGTTTCACCATTTATCCATCACCACAGGTCTCAACCTCTGTGGTGGAACCTTACAACAGTGTCCTGTCAACCCACTCCCTTCTTGAGCACACCGATGTTGCAGTTCTTCTGGACAATGAGGCCATTTATGACATTTGCAGGCGCTCATTGGACATTGAGCGACCCACATACACCAATCTGAACCGACTTATTTCACAGGTATTTATAATCATATCATATGCAGTCTATGTTTAGCAAAGTTTCTTCAACTGGGATATTAATTTTGAGCAATCTATGCAGGTCATTTCTTCGTTGACTGCTTCGTTGAGGTTTGATGGGGCACTGAATGTTGATGTGAATGAATTCCAGACCAACCTTGTTCCCTACCCCAGAATTCATTTTATGCTTTCCTCCTATGCTCCTGTCATTTCAGCTGAGAAGGCCTACCATGAGCAGCTCTCAGTTGCAGAGATCACCAACAGTGCTTTTGAGCCATCTTCCATGATGGTTAAGTGTGATCCTCGCCATGGCAAGTACATGGCGTGCTGCCTNAAAGTACATGGCTTGCTGCCTTATGTTCCGTGGTGATGTTGTGCCAAAGGATGTCAATGCTGCTGTGGCTACCATCAAGACTAAGCGTACCATCCAATTTGTTGACTGGTGCCCTACCGGATTCAAGTGTGGTATCAACTATCAGCCACCAACTGTTGTTCCTGGAGGTGATCTTGCCAAGGTGCAAAGGGCTGTATGTATGATATCCAACTCAACCAGTGTTGCTGAGGTCTTCTCACGCATTGACCACAAGTTCGATCTTATGTATGCCAAACGTGCTTTCGTGCACTGGTATGTTGGTGAGGGTATGGAGGAAGGTGAGTTCAGTGAAGCGCGTGAAGATCTGGCTGCTCTGGAAAAGGATTACGAGGAAGTTGGTGCTGAATTGGAGGAAGGAGAAGAGGATGATCATGAGGAATACTAAATACATGATGCATTGCNTGATCTGATGTATGCCAAACGTGCTTTCGTGCACTGGTATGTTGGTGAGGGCATGGAGGAAGGTGAGTTCAGTGAAGCACGTGAAGATCTGGCTGCTCTGGAAAAGGATTACGAGGAAGTTGGTGCTGAATTAGAGGAAGGAGAAGACGATGATAACGAGGAATACTAAATACATGAATCGTGATGCATTGCTTTGTTTGTTGGATTGTATTTTTCTTTGGTTCTTCAGTTGCTGCATTTTAGACATTCCAGTACTAGTTTGTATTTGATGGTGTCTTGTATGCTGAAATGACTTCTGCTGCTATGAAAGTTCAAACATTGCTTGTTTGTGTGAAATCGCTTTATCTTTTGTTTCCTTTTTCTTTTATTTTTTTAAAAAACGTTCCCTTTTCTCCATCGAGTCCTTTGTGGTTCAGTAGACGCAAACATTTTGATTGAACAATATAAACTATTGGAACTCTGAAGTCTCAAACTAAAAACATGTTCAGCCAGTTTGTATTAAAACTGCATGCAGTACATGTCCTGAGTTATTTTACCAACGTCCCCATCTTTGGATGAGACGATTCTCAATTTCCCATCTCTTCTTCATCAACAAAGTATACCTGTCAACAAGGTTTTGATCACCAGCAGGCATCGCAAGCTTGCAGCTTAGGGATGTTTTCTCCAATTTCCCGAAATACATATTAGAGATGGGCACAAATTTTCCCTTCTTGTTGCACAACCAACCATGAGCAGCTCTCAAGGCAGCTCCAAGGGAAGCTGAGTCTGTTGAAGAAAGTGCAACCATTTCTTTGTCAACTAAAGCAAGAATACTCCAAAAACCTCCTTACAGAAGTAGGGCCGATTGTGATGACCTTTTGGGTCATCACTTGGGTTACAAGTGAATTCAGTGTTCCGAGGCCTAAAAACCTTCTTTTTACCTCACATTGATTTACGTGCGTGGTCCGGACCTATATCCGGAAAGCCTTCTATGTGAAAATATGAGAAATAGAAATTTCTAGAGTTAAAATTTGATTATGGTTGACTTTAGTCAACATTTTGAGCAAACGGACCCGGATCGGTGTTCCGACAATCCCGGGAGGTCCGCAGTAAAATATGGGACTTTGGCGTATGCCTGGAAATGAATTCCGAGGTCCCAAGCCTTAGAAATCAATTTTTGAAAGAAATTATTTTACTGAATTATCTAAGAAATGAAGAAAAGAATTAATGTTTGAAACCATTGTTATCGGGCCCGTATTTTGGTTCCGGAGCCCAGTACAAGCTTGTTATAGTATTTGAAAGATAACTGTGAAATTTGGTGAAAAATGGAGTTTATTTGACGTGCGTTGGACTTCCGGTTGAAGAGTTATGAACTTTGAGAGTTCTTGATGAAAATGTTGAGTTTTGAGGTTTAATTAATGAGTTTACATGTTATTTTGATGATGTGATCGCACGAGTAGGTTCATATGATGTCTTTGAGTAAGTATGCACACTTGGTTTGGAGTTCTGAGGGCTCGGGTGAGTTTCGGGTAGGTTCCGGGATGTCTTAGGCTTAAAACATGGATGTTGAAGGTTCAGAGAAGTCAAATCTTTGAACCCGCCAGTGCTGACCGCATTGGTTTTGGTGTTGTCCGCGGTAGGAGCTGTGCGGCCGCACTCGATTTTGTGCGGTCCGCACAGGTTCACTGGTCCGACTTCGGAAGCCTATATCTTTTGATCTACAAGGAATTTTGAGATGGTTCAAAAACGAAAGTTGTAGCCCTTCGTGTCTAGTTTCCAGAAAGGTAAAGAAATCACAATTTGGACATCTGTAGAAAAAGTTATAGCCAAAATAATAAAGCATGTCACTGCAGTCCACATGGAGAGCTGTGCGGTCCGCACAGGGGGTCTGAGAGGGGTATAGTAAAACGAGATTTTCATTTATTTTTCATTTTTCAAAACCCCAAAAACATAAGAGGCGATTTTTCAAAGACAACTCTTCTTCCAAATCTATTGTAAGTGATTTCTAACTAGTTTTCTTCAATCTTTAACATCTTTTCACATGATTTCAACTCAAAATCAATGATTTTTCATGGGGAAAATTGGGTGTTTTGGGTAGAACCTAGGTTTTTCAAAAATTGGGGATTTGAACATCGATTTGAGGTCCGATTTCAAAACAAATTATATATTTGAGTTCGTGGGGGAATGGGTAATCGGGTTTTGGTTCGAACCTCGGGTTTTGACCATGTGGGCCCGAGGGCGATTTTTGACTTTTTGGGTAAAACTTTAAAAACTCATTTTCATGCATTAGAACTAATTCATTTAGCATTTATTGATGTAATTAAGTAACTTGTGGCTAGATACGAGCAAATTGGTGATGGAATCAAGAGGTAAAGCGATAGTAGAGACTTGAATTGTGCTCATGGCTTTGAGGTAAGTGTTTGGTCTAACCTTAGCTTGAGGGATTAGGAGTTGTGTCTTATTTGCTACGTGTTAATTGTGGAGTACGACGTATAGGTATAGTGACGAGTATCTATACGTCGGTGTCAAGCATGCCCGTGAGTCTTGTATTGTAACTGTTATGACTCCGTTATAAATTATTGCACTTCACATATTATTGAAATATTATTGTTCCCTTGCCGGGATGTGGTTATGTTGCTCTTGTTCCCTTGCCGGGATTCTTTGTGATTGTTGTTGATTTGTAAATGGGAGCGGGTGACACGCCTGCCACGAGATAAATGAAATAGGAGCGGGTAGCACGCTTGCCACGAGATAAACGAAATGGGAGCGGGTGGCACACCTGCCACGAGATAAATGAAATGGGAGCGGGTGGCACGCCTGCCACGAGATATATGAAATGGGAGCCACGCCTGCAACAAGATATGAAATGAAAGTGAATTCTGCCTTTGTTTCCCTTATCCTTGTTAGTAGTTGGATTTTGATTCCTTTATAATTCTCATGATATTCTGTTTTTACCTGTTATTCCTCGGAGCATACTTTCCCCCTCCCATCTTTACTTGTTTATTCCTGCTTCACTTTCCGCTGTATATTATATAACTGCACAAGTTTATTTGGTAGTCTGGTCCTAGTCTCGTCATTACTTCGCCGGGGTTAGGCTAGACACTTACCAGCACATGGGGTCGGTTGTGCTGATACTACACTCTGCACTATGTGCAGATCCCGGAGCAACTCTTGAACCGTAGTTTGGAGGCTACCTTCAGTCCACGCGGAGATCCAAGGTAAACCTGCAAGCGTCCGCAGGCCCTGGCGTCTCCTCTATCCTTTATTTCCTGTTTCATCTCTTTGCTTCACAAACAGTGTGTCTTTTATTTTCAGACCTTGTATTTAGCAGTCTTAGACCGTCTGTGGTACTGTGACACCAGTTCTGGGTGATTAAGGCTTAAACTGTTGTAATAGATACATATTCAGATATTTTTGTTGTTTTCTTCCGCTTATTCTAAATTTCCGCTGTTTATCCGCTATTGTTTTATATAATGGTAAAGAGAATAAAATTGGTAAAAAGGTAAATTCGTTCAAAGGAATGGCTTGCCTAGCTTAAATTAGTAGGCGCCATCACGACTTCCGAGGGTGGGCAATCCGGGTCGTGACACCGATTTCCCTCGTTCATTCAGTACATCACACAGAAGAGTATGCTCAAGAAAACTCTTAGCAGAACAGTATAATGAGTTTGTTTACCTGGCTTTTGGACTGTATAGACGTTGCACCCAAAAATGGAAGCAATGATTCTCAGTATGTGATCATTTGCAGATGTTCCTCCAGTTGCAATAATCCTCTTCGGTGGAGAAGGCATTCCAAGTCTCTCAGCATGAGCTCGCATAGAGAGCAACTGTCCTTCAATTAATGCTCGAACCTGTAAGTACCATTTATGTCCATTTGTGTTTGAGTTTCACCTATAATCCTTTATGCTCATCCACTATTCAAATGACTATGAATCTTCAATACAAGGCCACTTACCTCTGAAGGCGGATCAAACTCCTCTATTTCGCGTTCTACTACTCCATCCGCGGAGTCACCAATGAAATTATCAAGAATGTAGCGGTGGAAACCAACTGAAGACCTAGCTTGAAAGTTGTGAGTTCATAATCTTCTCATGATATGGGAAACAAATCAACTTGTGTTATTTCAATGTAAATGTATTTTAGGAGTACCCTCACCTGGAAGAGGAGGAAGTATTTCATGCTCTTTGTAATAAAAGCCGATCTTTCCATCTTTTGCAAGTAAGAAGTATCGAATGTTTATAAATATGCTACAGTTAACAAGATATGAATCACATTTTACTAACCATTCAGAGGCGGAGTTTGCTGTAGAAACATATTGAAAGTCTCCCAAGATCCATCTGCATAGCGATCACGTATATCTACGAAGATTTCAACATCATCAATAAGATGCCTTAAACTTCACGAACATCCTTACAGTTTTAAATCAGATACAAGCAGAGTACCTTCACGAGTCAAAGACCCATTCTTGTAGACCAACATTACCATGAAGCCTTTGGTATCGACCGGATTAGGAAATACATGTCCATCTAGACTAGGTCTATGATCAGTGGCAATCCCGAAGACCTGGATAATCGACATGATCACATATATATCATATTACTAAGAAACCAGATAAAAGGTTTTGGCTCTTCTTCCCCCATATATTGGTTCAAGCTTCAAAACAGTTCAAGACTAAATGAGGAAGAAGAAAAAGTAAATAACAATTAACTCTTCTGCACATGTGGTTTCTTTATGCATCATCTTTGACACAAAAAAGAGGCAGTGCAATGTATGTATGCAAGAGACCAAGCTTTAAGTCTCTTACAGTGTCACTTGTGCCAAGACTGATTGCCAGATCTCCATATGCGTTGAGGGTCAAACCTTCAGGATCCAAAGGTTCAGTTAGTAGTAGTAGTATGACGATGAATGAAAAATGGATTCTATAAGGCAATATTAATAGCAGAAATTTCCAGTTTGCTAATGTGTTTGAAGAGGCAGAATATTTCGCAGATACATTTTTCCGTAGGATAATAGAAAATGGCAGGTGTGAGACCAGCTTGTCATGTCATCTATCTAGTTAGAAGTTTGAATAAGGACTCAGTGAAGTTTTCCAAAGTAGGAAAATGAAAAATTAAGAAGAGGTTAGAGGATTAGAAGAGAGTTTTTCAGTTTCATGGCAAGTCCATAAACTTTGATATATAACTGACTGGATAGAAGCTGGATCGGCTAAAAGTAGTCAAGTCCGATTCAGTACAGAAAGACAAAGCTTGTTATCATAATTCTGCTTGCATTAAGCACCAAAATGATGACAATGATCACTTTACAAAGTGCAGTATCTTTTTCTTGTCCTCGGTGTACAACAACAACTGCTACCATGTC